GGCGGTCGTCTTGGGTTTCTAGGGCGTGCGCGTGGATCTCGAGCGCAGGCAGCGGGTCGAGCAGATCACGCACAACGGTGGTGCATGGGAGCAGGGACGGCAAGACACGAGCAGGCAGGAGGCGCGGGGCTTCGCGGCTGGGACCTAGGCACGATGTTCGGCTGTGCGCGGTTGCGGGCAGTGCTCGAGATAGCGCGCGGCTGGGCTCGGGCGAGGTCTTGGCGGCGATCGACGACGGCGGCGGTTTTCTGGCGGTGGTTGACGGCGGCGGTCGGCTGAGGAAGATGACCGCAATATTTGAAGCTTTGGGGTTTGATAAAATATCACCTTAAAGCCTTCTAATAAATTACCTAAACACCTAATTCAATTAATCTTGGTGGAGCAATTAATTGAATTTCCCAAACACTTAATCATCACAATTTGTCTCTCTTATGAAGATGGAAAAATCGAGTAGCTCAAAGTCATGTATAGGAGGTTGGGACTTGGTGTATTTATAGTCTTCATTAGGGACCTTAAGGAGGTACTAAATATTGGGCTTATCCCATTAGATGAAGGAATCCTAATTCCACTCCATAAGCTAATCCATTCTATGATATAACTCCTTCTTCCTAACATCACCTTCTAGAAGACTCTTTAGTCTCCTAACCCTAGGTAATATTCTAGAAGGAACATTCTCACACTTAATGGAATATTATTTATGGAATAAAATTAATTCCTAAAATCCTAATTAGAATTAAATAATAATATATTCCACTAGAATATTATTATTGCTCTCCCCATTTAGCTCCAATTTAATCAATTAAATCAAACCTCCAATTGATTAATAAATATTAATCAAATTAACCGATTTACCTCCCCATGTTTAAGATATAACGTCCGTCGATTAATTAAATTACTGACAAGATAATTAATCAACTTCTTATTTATTTCCGAAATTAGTACCACTCAGAACTTTAATCATTGTGTCGGATAAACATCCACATGCAGGGTTTAATACAATATTCCTTTCTGAGCTCATTTCGGAGACGTCATCAATCCAACACACTGGAACACGGTGACCATAAATAATTTAGAATAGCACGCTGTATAAACATTCTATTTTACCAAAATACCGAGTATGTCATCCTAACAAAATAGGAATCACCCTTGGTAAATCAAATAAACAAGTAATGAATGTATACGCCTATTTTATATTATCTTACAGCTTTAGAGAACGCGTCAATCACTGAAGGTATAGTTATAACAACGATCAGTGAGTCTGATAATTTTATCCTTCCGGCGGTCCTGTTCAATACTTAACATAAGTACTAGTGTAATTCTCCAGTCAAGGTCAACTGAATTAAGAATACACTACGGTCTTTTCCCAAGTGGGGTCTCACTGCCAGTCTAGACTGTGAACAAGCAATTAAGTCTTACAAGGAACCGAAAGGTGACCTTTCTGTTCGAGACACCACGAACCACACTACCTCAATGTAAGATAAAAAGTATGATTGCATAAATAAATAAATTGCAAGCATATGTACTTTGACTAAAACATGATTGTCAGATCAAAATAGAATTGTTCATATCTGAAAGCCAAGGTTTTACAACATATCTAACATCACCTTCATTCCTCTTTTTCCTATCTGAACGTTTGTGTTAAGGTACCCATGTCAGCTTCTCCATATGAAGTTCTTCACTTTGTTCTTGTTTGCAAGCTTCCAAGTCCTCTTACATATGTTTTGAATTACTTCCAGTGAAGAGCTTCGAGATTCTCTATTCTTTCTCTCTTCTTGATGAGCCAATGTAACCCGAATGGTTGATTTCACAGTGAAATTGCCATTTTTACTTCAGATCCAAACAAACCTATCCTTCAAACCCATGTGGCTAATAGGCATTTTGAGGATATGCTGAGCATTCCTAGGGCTGAATGTTTAAATATTTAGGTCCATATCCCACTATCGACCTCCCTCTTGAAATAACTTCGAAACCCACTTATACTTAATTCTCTCTAGCAAAACCACAAACAGGTTTAAAAGAGGGATTACTAGGACCCTAAGGAGACTCTCAGATTTGAATAGCATGACCATTCCCCACTTGGTATCTAACTCCTACCTTTAAGTTCTCTCTAACTCCTAACCAACTCCTCTACAACTAAGAATCCCTATTCCTAGCTACTAGTTTACCCCTTATGTATCTTTCATGCATAACAAACACTGGTAATTAGCATATGATGAAGATAAATTTACTGATGGTATTTAAATTTGAATTCAAGTAAAGATGAGTACAATGTGGTCGGAGTTTATGTATCATGTGTAAGATTTATTTTGGCAAGAGTTCTAAAATAATATATTGATGTTTTAGCAATCAAAGGAATTAAAAGGGAAGATCTATTGTCTCTCTCTTTCATTTAATTAAGAGCTGGACTTTCTATTCTAGCCGTTAGAGGGGATCCAGACTTGGAAATCCTTTTTTTTAGGCTTGGACATTGACTTAAAGTTTCATCCATGAAATATTAATCCGTTGGTCGCCAATGAGATCTCACTTTAGGCTGTTTTTAAGTTTAGAGGGATCGAAGTCTAGATACTATTTTAATATGTATGGTAAGTATATTAGTATCTAATAGGCTTTATTTATGTAGCTTTTATTACTATAATGTTTGTTTTGATTATTTGTAGGGAGATCATGCGTTTTAGGAATCTCAACTTCAAGATAGGAAGATCTCATCCAAGACTTGATGCAATCATAAGGAAAGAAATTGACTTCAAAATGAAACGAGGACCTAAAGACTTCTTAACTTGAGGAGGTTGTATATAAGATTGCATAAAGACTCAATTGAAGGTTGCTTCAACAATCATAGGTCATCATAGTCTTATACTTCATTGACTTTTTGTGAGCATTTTGTTTTTGTTTTTATACGGTTCAGTGATTCAGTGTTCTTAAACCACTAAAAAACAAATCGCAACCTTTTTTTAATTTTTGCAACCTGAACCCAAAGTTGATCGGCAGCAAATTCCGTGCCTACGTGTCCGGCAGGCCGTCTCATGTGTCCTCAGGCTTCGCTGACGAGGATTCCACAGTGTCACACACACTCAAATAAAAACGCATATAATTCATTTCTTTCTCATTTTGAAACCCTAATCGGCCAAATTGACGACCTTCTCGCCCTAATTTCGAGCTTCTCTCCCAATTGTCGAGCTTCTCGTTCCCAGTTACAAACGTAATTGAGTTGCTCGTCCACATACCTCTGAAAATGTCGTTCTCTTTCCATAGAAGCCAGAGTTCTCAGAGCAATGGAAGTTCAAACCTTCATGGCCGAAAGCAATGCCGTCATGGTGAGGCAGACATCCTGACATCGAAGACGATCGAATAATCCATGTAGAGGCTTCTACAGGTGTCCAAATAGAAAGGTAAATACGTGGTTGTTGATACCTAATTCGGCTTCGATTAATTAAATAATAAATAAAATAATAGAATACGGCCAGATAATCAATGAGCCGACATTACGAAATAAATAAATGTACAAACAGGTTCTCGGTACCGATCAATCAGAAGCCGCCTCAGATAGACGTCAATCGAAGCCGTCAAAGGTCATAAACGGGACCCACGGTGATTAATCTCACATTAGTCAAATAATGTACCATTTTTTGTTTATTCTATTGTCCACTTGCAAAAATTGTGAAACATGTATATATATGTGAAAAGAAGAAAGAGAAAGGGGTTCTCTTCCCATTTTTCATCTCCCCATACAACAAAAAAAGGAGATTTCTCTCCAAAGTAATAAAATACACCTATTCTCAATTATTTTTTGTTCTTCAATTTCATACAAGCAATTCGTATTATTTATTACGGTTGATCGTCCGATTTTCGACATCAACAGTGGTGTTGATGGAGTATTTCAGTTTTTTTTTTGTTCCTATTTGTTGCTCAGACTTATCTTGTAGCAAACACTAGATTGCGGTTTGTTTGAATGGATTGATCCGCCATTGCCCGAGTTCCAGAAGTCATGTTATTTAAGAATGAAGGCAGACAAAGAGGATTTAGAGAAACAGCTTAGGTGCAAGCTGGGCATGGAGAAAATGCATACAGAAGATGTGAAAGATGAAAACTTTGACATGGTAGAGGAGCTTCAGAGCAGGGTGAATGAGCTTGGTGTTGTAGCTCAAAAAAATGCAGAACTCATGTTGACTCTTAAGAGCACAGTAGATACTCATGTGCAAAACTTAGAAAAGAAGATGAATGTTCTCATTTTTTGCTTGGTTGCAGCTGCTCTTCTTGTTGTTATGAGTTGGTTTGGTGAGGATGGAAAGGGACAGAGAATGAAGATGTTGAAATGAAGCTGTAATCCTATGATGAAATGCTGAAATGAAGGTGTAATGTAATTTGTTTTTGCAGTAGGTTTTGAACAATTTTTGCTTGATTTCATGGGTTATGTGTAATGTAAGCAGTATGTTTTAAATAATTTTTGGTTGAACTAATGGATTATGTGTAACATTATAATGTTTTGGCAGTAGTTTCACTGATTAGTTTGAATTAGTATGTTTGTTAATTTTTGTTGAATGCTTTTATAACTTTCAGATCCACCTAAATAGAACAACCAAAAATTGCAATAAATAGATACTCCAAGAGAGGCAATGCCACAGGTTTCAGTCATTCCATAACCCTCATTTTGTTGATCAGAACACAACACAACACAACCAGCAGTAGAAAAAAAAATAAAAAAATTAACAAATGCACAACCTCATTTTGTCAAAAGACCAATTGTTGTTTCATAACATGATATGATGTTCATTACATAGGCACCTGCAAGCTGAATAATGTTTGGCATCATTTCAAACAACAAAATCCCCAAAACATGATCACAGTATTGTTCTTAAACCATCTTCATAACCAAAACCCCAAAACACACAGAAGCACTATTACACAATCTTATCTAAATACATAGACTTGTTCAAACAGGCAAATCAATCGTCCTTTGTGTGCAGAACTTTCTTAAGTGCCCAAGACATGTTCACTTACTTTCAGTCTTGAACTCCTTCTTGAACTCCTACTTTCAACTCTTTTGCTTTTCCTAGTACCTTGGCTTCCTGATCCACTTGCTTTGCTTCTTGACCCACTTGCATCCTTTCTAGGAATGAGATGCACCCTTCTTTCAGAAGACAAATGCAAGAGTCACATACAGAAGAAAATTTAAGAAATGACCAAATACCATCACATAAGAGAAACACAACTGCAATATAGTCACAACTGCAACTAATTTATCAATAATATGAACAAGACAATAACTAAGTAAAACATACCCTCATATAAGTATTCTCTGTTTCCTCAGACTGTAAAATACCATATCCTTTCCTAGCCCGAATATAAGCAAACCAAGTACATGAGTACAAGTTAATTGAATAAAAAAAAAAAAAAGAAACAAGACTTGTCACATAAACAAGTTTGTATATGATTTACCAAGGCTCATTCCTTTTGTATCAAAGAGGCATCTTCTGTGAGCATCTCTCTCCTAACAGGTAGTTTCTTTCTCCTCTGAGTAGTTGCAGCAACATTTTGACTCCCAGCTTCAACAACTTCCTCTTGGGTTGATTGTGGTCCTGGATTTTTCTTTGGCCTCCCTCTTGGATTCTATCAACAATTGTAATTGAAAATCAGTTATAGCATAATCAGTTGAAAATCAATTACAACATAATTAGTTATAATACCTTAGGAGGTTTTTCAACTTGGGGATTAGTACAAAACTTCTTGTTATGTCCCTTCTGGAAACACCTTTGACAAGTCATAGTTAAACCAAACCTTCTCAACTTAGTTCCACATCTCAAATCTTCTTCTGGAGCTCTTCTTCTCTTTTTCTTAGGTCTACCTGACATTTTCTTGAAAGGAGCTGGTTTGATTGGGTAGCCTTCTGCCACTGGCCACAACTTCTTTTCATTGAGTGGCTCCAAGGAGTTGTTGTACATCATCAAGTACCTCTCAACTGAGTAGTAATCAGAAACAAAGTCTGCTGGCTCCTTGTGCTGAAAATGTATGGCTGAGCAAGAATGTACACATGGTACTCCAGTTATGTCCCATTGTCTACAAGTACATGTGTTACTTCTCAAGTCTACCACAAATTGATCATCTTCATAGGCGACCTGAAATCTGTCTCCAACTGCAGGCTTTGTGACACAAATTCTGGACTTGTACTTGTTCTGCTCTAGCTTTGTTCTTATTCGAGGACAAATTTTGTCAGTAACACCACTAAACTCCATAAGTTTCCCATGTTGTCTTTTCATCAACTCACTCCTCACAAATTCAAGCATTTCAATAATATGTTGCCCTCTACCTTTGACAATGAAGTCATTAAATGTCTCACTGACATTGTTCTCTATCATGTCATACCTAGGTAAGGGAGAAACAAAAGCCTTACAGAATTTAGATGGATCTCTTTTAATGAAGTCCTCATAGGCATCTGGATCTTCAGCCTTCAAATCTCCCAGTGCAATGTTGTAGTCACCCATATGAGTGCTAAGCATAATCCTCCAGAAAATAAACTTCAAACCTTCACCCTTTAAGCTTTTCTTCCAGTTCATATACACATGCCGAGCACAATTCCTATGCTCAACATGAGGTACCAAATCACTCAATGCATTTAGAAGACCCTGTAACAATGACAACTAATTAAGTTTAAATTTAATTTACATATAGAAAAAAGAAGTAAGCATTATAGAAAGAGAATAACTTACTTTCTGCTGGTCTGATATAAATGTGTATCCCAAACCATCTCTTATCCCCAACTCTGAAAACAAAATCATCAGGAACCACCTCCAACATTCCTCATTTTCAGTTTCTACAACAGCCCAAGCCACAGGATAAATTTGATTATTGCCATCCTTTGCTGTGGCACATAATAATGCTCCTCCAAGGAATGTTTTTAAGAAGCAGCCATCAAGACCCAAAATTGGCCTACACCCAGTCAAAAACCTTTTTTTAGTGCACTAAACCCTACATAGAAGGACCTAAATGTAGAATGATCACCCAAAAGAAACTCAAACTTTCCTTCTCTCTCAACCCTCTGCAACTCCAACATGTAACTCCTCAAAGTAGCATAATGTTTTGACACAGAACCTCTAAGCATCTCCATTGCTGTCCACTTTGCTCTGTAAAGCTTCCATTTGCTAGGTTCAATGGCATATTTGTCAGAAATTACATCTACCAGTTGAGCAATTGTCATGTTAGGATTTTTTCTAAACTTTTCCAAAAACTCTTCAGCAATCCATCCAGCTGTTACTTGCCTTGTGTGGACATTTCTGTGTGTTCCTTGTGGAGTTGCTTTATAGCAACAATACCATCTCTTGTAACTGAGCTTGTATATAATCTCCAAGGACACCCATCTTCACATCTTACCTCTAACTGCCTTTTATTAGTTCTCATATTTTGGATATTTCTACCTTGAACAATGGCCACCTTTCTCACACCTCTCTTGCATTGGTCAATACTCTCAAATCTCATACCAAGCTCAAACTGAAGAGCATTATGATCACACCTAGGATCATAAATTACCCTCAGCTTCCTTTTGATGCAATTTCCCTCATCATCCATCTCCATTTCACTACCTGACTCCTCAGATATGAGAGCATGCTGTAGCACTTCACACCCATCCAAGTCCATTTGAGGCATACAATCTGGGAATGTATTGTTTGCTCCACCATCTTCTTCAACCATCTTGTTTTTACATTTCCTCAAATTTTATCTGGCCTCAAGTTATTCATCATCATCAGAAGCATGTTCCTCATCAGTCAGATCATCATCTGATGAGCTAACACCCACTGGGAAATACTCTTCATCATCACTATCCTCATCAGAGCACATAGCCACGTCTGCTAGCACTCCACCTCCAACTGATTTATCTCCATCATTTGCATCATCATCATCATCTATATTTGCATCAGAATCTGGGTGTTCATCTCTAGTTACATTATCTCCAACATTCACATCACCATCACCATCTGCCAATCTGTTTGCAGAGTTACTCCCTTCAGATGCATTATGAACAACATTAACACCATCATCATCATCCTTATTAGGGTTACTAGCAGCAACATAAACCTGTATTACATGTCTAAGCTTATGGCCAGTGTTGATCATCTCCATAACACCACTGTCATCCACTATCTCTTTCATACCAGCATATCCTAGCTTCTCTGGATCTTGATACATTATTTTATCAAACTCCTTAACCCCCAGCTTCTCTACTGCTTCTACCAAATCAAAGTATCCAAACCTATCAGTGTCTAAGCCATACACAGACTTGAAATTCCCACCAAAGTATTCAGTTGAATCTCCAATTTTGATAAATGTACCACCATAGTTGAAGAAAAGGGAAAATTTTTCACTGCAATCAAACATAGGGATATAATCAATCCCATATCATAGACATAACTCATAAATAAATTCAATTTTAAATAAAACTTCAAATAACTAAAAAACCCTAAAATGCAAAAAAACCCTAATTTTGTGATAACCCTGGTTGCAATACAACCCTAATTTCGTATTAACCCTAATATTAATAAAAAAAAATCATGAATTCACATGGAAACCAGATTTCACGCAAAACTCTAATATAAAATATATGAAGATTCGAAAGAAACACTAACTTATCATGAAGTCAAACATAAAAATATTATTCTGCCATTGTTTGCTGTCGGACAACAAGGGTAAACATGAACACATGGGACCGACAATAAAATTAAAAAATTGCAGCACGAAATTTGGGGCCGACATATGAGATTAAAGAGTACGAAATTTGGATCTACCTGTTTTTTCCCATTGCCGATGCACAAAAATCGTGAACAACCAGTGGCAATTCCTTCTTCATGAATCGCGGCAATTACCAAAACATCTGGAAAAAAATTGAAACGGTCTTTGTATCGTGATGAATCGCGGAAAATTGAAACGGTGTTCTTCCCTAATTTTACAGAGGAAATTGTGATGAGAAAATACAATTGGGCGGTTACGGTTTAAAATGGAGAAGCAATGAATTATATGCATTTTTATTTGAGTGTGTGACACTGTGGAATCCTCGTCAGCAAAGCCTGAGGACACGTAAGACAGCCTGCCGGACACGTAGGCACGGAACTCGTTGCCGATCAACTTTGGGTTCCGGTTGCAAAAATTTAAAAAGGTTGCGATTTGTTTGAAATTACCTTAAGGTTGAGCTTAAAATGTAAAAAGCTTAAAGGTCGTGGTTTTATATGCAATTAAGCCTTCTAATTATTATATTCACACAATATTTTGATATAGTCAAAGTCAACATAAAAATCTCAATTAAAAATACTAATAAAAGAAAATAATTATACATTATGAACGATCCACCAGGAGTCTCAGAACAAATAGGAACACTTATGGACATAATAAAGAAAATCCAATTAGAAACATTCGAGAAATTATACGAAATAAAAGGATCAATAAAAGAATTACGAGATTTAGTAAAGAAAGAAAAAACACGGAAAAAACTATTTAAACCCTAAACCCTAAACCCTAAATCCTAAACAAATAATAATGAAGCATCTACTTCACAGAATAATTATGTAGAAAGCAGTTTTAGAGATTTTATATATAGAAATGATTATAGTTATCATCAAGAAAAATAAAAAAAAAATATACCACCAGCATATTTAGAAAAAGAAAGAAATTCATCTAGTGAAATATTAAATATAGATTGCAACAAATGCGGAGAATTTAATAGTTACTTGGACTAATCAATTAAAATTATTAGTTCAAACTAATGACTCGATGATAAACGGAATGACATTAACCGATTTTGCTAATTATATAAGATACAAAACATCTGGAGTATTATTTGATTATCTAGAAAATACCCAAATTTCATTAAATCTTGAAGCCAGTGGTTCAGAAACAGGAGCAGAATATAAAATATCAGCCTTAAAAGAATTAGCAAAATATTTATTAAAAGAATTTTGGGGATTACAGGACAAAAATCAAAAGAAACACAAAAAGATAAGGTAGTTAGGTTTCTAACAAATATGAAGCTTTGTAATATATGCTACATAGAAATTTTTTTCTGTCAGGTAAGAGAAAATTTCTATAAAATTAAAGATCGATCAGGACTAATAGAAATAGTTGACAGTAAACTTAAATATGAGATGAATAAATATATTCAAAAGAAAATTAGTGAAACAAAAGAAGAAAAAACTCTAGGAATTTTTAAAAAAATATGCAAAAGAATACAGAGATGAACTTTGTATAAGGAAAATAGAACATCATGAAATGACTAAAGTCGATTGAAGATGTGACAAACAATTAGAAAGTGTACCACAAGAATTTGGTTGTTATAACCCATACAAAAAGAAAAGATATTATAAATACAATAAGTTTAATAGACGATATGGACCAAGAAGATACAAGACATTTAGAAAACCATGGAAAACAAAATATAAAGAAAAGTTTAGAAAACAAGGAAGATATTTAGGAAAATCTAAATATTGTCCTAAAGGAAAAAAGAATTGTAGATGTTGGAAATAGGACATTGTGCAAATGAATGCCCTAAAAACGTACCAGACAAAGAAAAGAAGTTAAAAATGATATTCGCTTTAGGATATGAACCTATAAAAGAAGAATATGAAGAATGTGAATTATTAGACTTTGATATATATGATTTAGAATCAGAAACAGATAGTGATTTGTAAACATCCGAATCAGAAGATGAGTAAAAATATTCATTTATAAAAGTTAAGTTATTCAACAAATTTCTACTAGCATATATAGACACAGGTGCAACGACATGTCTAGCAAAAGAGTCTATATTACCAAGTAAGTATTGGAAGAAATTAGAAAAACCAATTATAGTAAGAATTGCAAATAATAAGACAATAAGTATTGATTACAGAGCAACAGATTTAGTATTGTTAATCGAAGAAAAACGATTTCCTTTACCAAGTATTTATAAACAAAATACAGGTTTACCATTAATAATTGAAAATAACTTTCTTAAGTTATACAGTCCATTTATTCAAAGATTAAATAGTATAAGTCTTAGATGTCCACAATTAGATACACAGTCTAGCAAAATAATTACTACAAAAATATATAATAGGTCTTCTTTCATAAGGGGGAGATATTGAGAAAAGTTTCATTTCAAAATTATAAAGTAATAAGTATAACTTTAGAAGAATATGTTAATCAATTATTAGAAAATATATGTAATCAAAATCCATTGGATCCAAATAAAAACACGAATAATATGATAGTAAAAATAGAACTTATAGATCCTAGCAAAATAGTCAATGTACCAAATAGGATACCATATACAGAAAGAGATGTTAAAGAATTTCAAGAAGAAACTACAAAAATGTTAGAAAATAGTATTATACAACCTAGTACAAGTCCACATAGTGCACCAGCATCCTACATAGAAAACCATAATGAGTTAAAAAGAGAAAAACGAAGAATGGTCATAAATTACACAGAAATGAATAAAGCCACTAAAGGAGGTGCATATAAGTTACCAAGACAATATTATATTTTTAGTCGAATTAAAAAAGCAAAATGGTATAGTACATTAGATGCTAAATCAGGATATTGGCAGTTACGGTTAAATAAAGAAACTAAACCTTTAACAGCATTTAGTTGTCCACCTCAAAACCACTATGAATACAATGTAATGCCATTTGGACTAAAACAAGCACGTAGCATATATCAACGATTTATGGATAATAATCTTAAAGGCTTAGAACCGATAAGTCTTGCTTATATAGATGATATAATTATTTTTACACAAGGATCAAAAGAATATCATTTAGAAGAACTTGTAAAAGTTTTAATACAGCTAGGCAACAAAGGAGTTATTTTAAGTAAAGAAAAAGCAAAAATCTGCAAAACCGTAACAGAATTTTTGGGAATGAAAATAGTCGAATTGAACCTCAAAAACATTTACTTGAAAAAATACATCAGTTTCCTGATCTGCTTCAAAATAGAAATCAAATTCAAAAATTCCTTGGATGTCTAACATATATCGGAGAAAAAGGTTTTATAAAAAGTCTTGCAAAAGAAAGAGAGTTACTACAAAAAATGATTTCATAAAAAGTACCATGGAAATGGACAAATGATGCAACTAGAGCAGTACAGTCCTTAAAAAGACTATGTACTCATTTACCACGGCTTTATATACCAAAGCCTAGTAATTTACTTATTCTAAACACTGATGCAAGTCAGGATACTTAGGGAGCAATCCTTCAAGCATCCCAGATGCATATGAAGAGTTTAATAAGTTTATCATGAACAACAAACCATCTGAAGTTAAATCCTTCATACGACGGATGACTAAAGATAGTTTGGATGCAAAAAGATAATCTTACGATTCTAAATTAGAGAAATCTAATGACAAAGGTGAAAATCCTTTAAGCCAGTCTATGCAAAAGGAATTGAAAAAAACCAATAGCAAATGATTACTGTTATCCAAATGGGTATCAGGAACTTTTAAGCCAACTGAACGCAATTACACTACACACGAGAAAGAAACCCTAGCCTTTATAAATTCACTTGAAAAATTTAAAATAGACATACAGCCAGTGAAATTCATCTTTCAAACCGATAGCCTATACACTAAAGATTTTACAAAATACCGATTGTAAGAATCCTACAATAAAGGTAGAATTCTTAGATGGAGCCTAAAAGCACAACAATTTGATTATCTTTATGTGTATATCCCAGGAAGAGAAAATTATTTAGCAGATACTCTTACACGAGAATGGAGTCAGTTGCAGCAATTCTAATGGAAAAAAAGAAACCAGCTTGAAGAAGAAATAAGCCAGTTGAAAGAAACAGTGAGGCAGTGTCAGATAGAGGCCAACAAAAGAGAAAAAGAAGTTCAGGCTATTGATCAAGTTTTGAATCCAGGAAAAGAAAAAGAAAGTAGAAAAGAAAATGAAAAAGAAAAAGAGAGTAATGAAGAAGAAAGTAAAAAAGAAAGAAAAAAAAGGAATATGATGAAGAAGAACGAGCTAAAGCGCATTATGTTATATTCACTGGACCAAATCAAGGAATATACGATGCATGGAGGAAGGCAGCAATTTTCATCACAGGATACAATGTAATCCACAAAAAATTCCTAAGCCTTCAAGAAGCCAAAGATGCACTCAGGGATTTTCAATCCACATATGCAGGAAAAGTACAGACGCCGTCATCATCAAGTTCATTGACGGAAAAGAAGTTATCAGTACTTGGAAAAATTCCAAGTCCAAGACAACTTACCATCAACCAAATTCAAACCAGACAGCAGAAAGAAGAGAGTACTATCTAACAAGAAAATTATTTGAAGAAGAATATAATTTTATACTAAATTACTTGGAAAAAGACAAAACAACAAGCATTTATCCTATTGAAAGCTATTTTACAGGACCAAAAGCAGTCAGTCTGCCAGAAGCAGACCCAATAAAGACATATATGATGTTCCAATCCAGATTACTCAGTTGCATATACTTCAGAAGTACTGATATCTTTCAGTATTTCCCGACTAAGTTTACACAGGATATTCACTCGTATTCTAGTAAGCTTCTCAATAAAAAAGAAGGATTTATGAAAACATTCGCAACAATTCTTGTCTTTTCTGATGAGGGGGAAGTTATACAGCCAGCAATACAATTATGCCAAATCGGTGTTAGTAATGGAAATTATCCACAATTGGGAATAGCAAAGTACGAAGACGAGTTAACACATTATTTGAACAATTATGTGATTATACTCGGAAAAAGCGTCAGAGTAAAATGAAGAATTAATTATTCATCCCAGTCCGTTTTATTATGGAGTTTTCAAGCAAGCCACCAATGTCTTTAGATATTGAGATACTAAACAAATTTA